AGTAGTTTGAGTTACTAGGTTACTGACGATGCTAAACAAACACTATATGATAGTAGTTTGAGTTACTAGGTTACTGACGATGCTAAACAAACACTATATGATAGTAGTTTGAGTTACTAGGTTACTGACGATACTAAACAAACACTATATGCTAGTAGTCCGAGTTACTAGGTTACTGACGATGCTAAACAAACACTATATGCTAGTAGTTTGAGTTACTAGGTTACTGACGATGCTAAACAAACACTATATGATAGTAGTTTGAGTTACTAGGTTACTGACGATGCTAAACAAACACTGTATGCTAGTAGTTTGAGTTACTAGATTACTGACGATACTAAACAAACACTATATGATAGTAGTCCGTGTTACTAGGATACTGACGATACTAAACAAACACTATATGCTAGTAGTTTGAGTTACTAGATTACTGACATTCATAACTCAGGCATTGTATACAGATATTTACATTACTATAATAGTCCGAGTTATTGATGATATTACTACAATTACATGTTGGTAAAACACAATTTGACTGATGTAGCCCGAGCAACAAGTAAGCCTGTTAGCATCATTGACACCAAGACTGAACTATAGGTTGTAATATGATAGATGTTTGTCAATAGGAGTACTAGCAGTGTACTGTAGGCTAATGTAGAGTGTAACATAATAACCATAGTTATCGACAGGTACTAGGAAAAACACTATTGGATATAGCAGAGAGTATAATAATACCCATAGTTACAGGCTTACTGACGTCACTAGTAGACTTACTTATTTTGATAAAACAGTCTCCATTCGGAAGAAGGGCTACTTCGTAAGGGGTGATTTGTTAAGTTTTTCATTTGACGTTTTCGTGTTTTAAAAAAGACCATTGGATACCTTCGAGGTTTCCTGTGACTATAACTTGCAGAAGAGATAAAAGTTATTATGGTGTTGACGACAATTGCTGTTATTGTAAAGTAAGCGTTTTAATCTTTAAAAAAATTAGCCAGTTTTCTTATAATTAAAGAGTAAATCAGCCGCTTTAATACCGGAAAAACATTTATATTGGCCGCTATTTGTCGTTTTTAAAGTAGAAATAAAAACAATAACGACGCAACAACAATACCTTCTCTACCACAGCTGCCCCATAAAGCTGTCTAGACAGATATACCTCGTGCAACAAGGGTACACAGCTTGTGTTTCACAAGATAAAATAACAGCCAATGTGGCTTAACAACAAAAAATCTTAACTTTCCAGTCCTACGTATCTTCTTCCTCACGCCATCCTTTAGTTTAGCATTTTCATTGTTCCGGATGCGTAGTCTTCATTAAATCCGTCAGAGGACAAAATTTATTGAATCCAGATTACTACCTTACACATTACTGCTATAGAAAACAGGTTTCGGCGAACTTAAAATGTTTTATACAAAAGGCTCAGATCCGTCAACACGTTGCCAATTTTAACTATCCATGTAAATACATGCAGGTAAGATTTTGTAGAACGACAGAAATAGACAAGTGCAAAGCAACAGACTTAAGCAGGTTTAGGTAAACTGAGGAAGAACGAATAGAGATAACGTAAGAGATAGAGAAGAATGAGGGAAAACAGTGATAGACAGATTCAGGTTAAGAGACAAAGAATGAAGAAAAACAATAGACTTAGAACAAACAGAGAAATGTCAGCCTGAACGAAGAGAAATATATGGTAAATTAAAAGAAACAAGTGAGGTTAATGAAGGAAACAAGCGAGGTAGAGAAGGATGCAATGACATAAGATTACAAAACAACAGAGGTTGTGAAAGTGTTTAATTCAAACCTACCCTGCTATTTAAGATTAGGACGAAAACAATTCTTCTAATTAATTATTTTATTGTATAAAAATAAAATACTGTGTTTGTTTGTTTAATTATTATTATTATTATTATTATAAGAGTGAACTGAACAACAGGTGTAGATAGATGTAGAAAAATGAAGGCATAGAAAAATCGAAATAATTAAAAACAGACATTGTGAAGAACAGAGCACACCCTAAAAGGGAAGGCAACATTATTGTTGTTGTTTTCTTCAGTAGTTGACTTTGACTCTTATACACGTACAGAGATACCTTTGTGGTTTCAGTATATTTATTCATCATTATATCGCCACTAGGGACGTGGTTTGGTTCAAACAATATCACTCAACTGTTGCAGAAGAGATTTTTAAACTAACACTATTTTTATTTAATTTTCTGTAGAACAGTTTAAATCTGCATTTGCTTTAACACAAAGTCCTGATCTTTACAGTTAAAATAAGCTAGTTAATTTCTTGTAATAGGTAGATTCAGTATATGTATTAACAATAGTAATGAACTTTCGGCACGAGAAACGCTGGTTTCAAAGAGCGAGATTTGTTTATGTATGATGTTCACCATACTTGGAATATGCTCCTTTCTCTGGTAGGGGTGAAAAGTTGTATCGATATCTGTCCCTACGAGTATTATGCAAAGTTACTGTGAAACAGATAGCCTTGACAAATGTCACATATTACCCTGTACATAACAATAGCACTATGTTGGGCTGGCTTCCTACCTTCAGGATCGCTGCATTATGGAATGTAGAAAACAATTATCCTACTTATTTATTTACACGCAATAGAAGTTCCAGCGCAAGCTGTCCTCCTTCCCTTCACATGTGTAGTCCCATCGCTGCACATTTGTTTCTGCGCAGAAAGTAGTGTTGCGTTGTCCTAAATTCCAAACCACCAATCACAGAGAGGCAACCGGCCAGCAGCAACCACTTTTAGTTTCTATCTTATCATTATTGTGCGTCAACTTTTTCATTTTTTTAAATTATAATTAATACATAATACCTAACGTATACAAGATGATTTTATTATTATTATTTTCCCATTCTCCTAAAAAAGCGGTATTAATAAAAAGTATAAAATAACAGTTTTAAACAGTATTGTGAGAGCCGATTAATATTTACAATAAAGAGGAACATCATGCAGCACGATTGTTCTGGACACTCTTTGTTTGTCCAAAGACGGTTTGGACACTTCCATTAGATTATGAGAAAATGATTGTACAGCGGCATATGAAGAACAAATATTTGTTCTGGATAACACATTAACGTAGCTTATCTCGTATGTTAGCAGCTGCACATAGGTTACTTACCGTCAGAGTCTGACGTAGGGTGAGGTCCGGGAAAAAGATGTCTTGCTGCGTGACATAGCATATCTTCCTTCTCAGTTGTTTACTAAGTGTTTCTCCGTTCAAGGTAATCAGGCCCGAATCAGTCTTCAACCTGCCGCTTAGAGCATTAAGTAAGGTCGTCTTACCGGACCCTGGAACATAAACAGCTACATAAACATCAGACTTAAATGGAATATCAGACAGATTAATGCATACACAGATGGGATGTCATTGGCCTTTCATATGAGAAGGTATTTTATTGAGCAAGCAGAAATAAAAAAAATAATACTTAGAATACTTAGTCGTTGTGCTTCGAATTATACGTGTGTGTGTGTGTGTCTCAGGCACCACAATAAATTCATTAAGCATTAAACTAGTCTGACCACTGCAGAGTAAACAAAACCTGCATTGCTGCTGAGGGATGGCACGTAATAGAATGCTAGTGAACTCCAATAAAGTTGATGGCGAAGTGAAAAGTACAAAGACCTGGAATGTTGATTTTTTTGTTTACGTTAAAAGCCGGTACCTACCACTTGGACCCATGACACCAAGCACCTCGCCCGGTCGCACCATTCCGCTGACGTCCCGTAGAATCTGCTTCCCACCGAAGAAGACGCCTATACCTCGGAAGACGAGCTCAGCCGGTCGGTAACGATGAGCGGTGGCGACGTTGTTCAGATGAGCGGCGGACCCCTCAAGTCTGCTGAGGAAAAACTCAATAGTTAAAACATTCTCACGATCATGTACATCTCTCACTCGATTTGGGTGCATCCTCCTCCTAAACACCTGCACCATTCAGTTGTTAGATTAAATAATCTCAACTGACCATTATTAAACTATCTTGATCTTTATACATGATAAAAAAAAGATACAAATTTTCTATTATAAGGCATTCAGGTGTTTCAGATTTACAGTACACGAACAGGAGGATAGATCCAACGGTTTTCCAGGTGTTTGACATTTACAGTACACGAATAGGAGGACAGATCCAACGTTTTCCAGGGCTGTAATTTCACTCACCAGACAAGAGAAGGCAGCTGCAAATAATACAATATTCTTATGGATGCCAAACCCTCAGCTGCTCATAGGAACAGAGTTTAGTCATTCATTAGTTGATAACCCATAAACCAAACCCTCAGCTGCTCATAGAAACAGAGTTCAGTCATTCATTAGTTGATAACCCATAAACCAAACCCTCAGCTGCTCATAGGAACAGAGTTTAGTCATTCATTAATTGATAACCAATAAACCAAACCCTCAGTTGCTCATAGGAACAGAGTTTAGTCATTCATTAGTTGATAACCCATAAACCAAACCCTCAGCTGCTCATAGGAACAGAGTTTAGTCATTCATTAGTTGATAACCCATAAATTCTCCATTAAAATGACATTCTGATTTAGACCTATTATGATACTTCTAAGTTTCTATCTAGGGTACATGGAGTGTAAGAAAGATTCGTGTATATTTGCATATTTTCTACTTAATGTCCATTGTCTGTAAAACTGGTATCTTTCTATAGCTTTATATTGTTTATTGTTTAAAACAAAGAGTCAAGTCAGCATTCTTATCAGTTTGAATTATACCCAACAACGTCTTAGTGAGAACGACTTTTAGTAAAACTGTTGAAACTTGTAATGTCACGACGTCAGGGTTAAAGGACCCTCGTGAAATAAACAGATAGTGTGTTGACCATTTAAAACAAACATAGTCAGATGCTCGACATGTCAAGGTGAATAAGTTAAGTATTATCATGTGATAATATCATTTTTGAGGTCAGCGGAAATCATGACGTAACCAGGACCAATTCTGTGTTAGCGCCTAACCTTACGTTCGACGTTTCTTATCCATACAGCCTATTTTCACTCATCACTTTCTCTGGACAATGACGTCGGTTGTATGTAGGCCAGAACCTCTTCTCGCTGACCCCTTATCGGAAGTAAACAACCCGGTGGATAACCCCTTAGCAGACACTGTCACATGCGCGAGGTACAATCACCCACCCATAGGAATGGCCTACATATCACGCTAAGAAATCCAAAAATTGTCGCACGGTTGTGTGAAACTATTTTTCTCATTTTAGGCGAGACGAAAAGAAGCGTAACAAAACCAGTACCAAATCAAACAACAAACTGTCTAGACAACCTTGCTAAAAACAGGCTTTACTGGGGGAAGTAGACTAATGGTGTTATTCCCTCAAGGGATGTTGTGTGCAACTTCAAGCCATTTTTACCACACAAAGATTAGCTCATTTTGTCCTAGAGTATGCAAAGAAAGTGTTGTTTTTTTTCCCTACTTCAAATGTACTTTTCATGATGAGAGGTTATAAGTTCTACCATGCGTGTCTCTCTGTATAATCGACAAGCCTGAAAGTGAATACTTTGGTCTTGTTTTAAAGGGTTTAAGTGCTAGGATCATTGGAAAGTGGTCACCTACAAAGTGGCCGAGCAAAGAAGTTTCAATTTACTGACCGACATCGTTATTCCTCTATACGAAGGTTTATCTTTGATTTTTAAAATTAGCAAATTGATTTTCATATTCTTTTTAATTAAAAGTAGTTTGTTTTCATTCAGATTTTTCTGTTCATAGTCCGGACACAATAAGAACTAGGCCACGCCTAGCCCATTAAAAGTTGTAATTTAGGAACAATTGAAAAAAAAAAATTCCATAACGGAAATCTTCGAACTTGAGAATAATAATAATAATAATAGTTCACCAGTGTTGGAGGACAATGTCATTAAGGCGTCAAACCGTAAACTTTCTTGTCCAATAGAAATTGATTGGTTGTTTGTGTTGTTACTTAAAGAAGCAAGCGAACTCGACTATGTAATTTAACGACAACATCCTCTTTATCGTAAAAAAAGTCCTATTTTACAACGAAGAACAAATGGAAAATAATATAAAGGATTTTACAAATCAGCGCTACATATTTCAAAACACTGATGTTTAACAGTTCTGTACACAAAAACTCGAAGTTCACATACGTCGTGGTTTATTAAAAATCTATCCAAAACAATTACCAGGTTTTCAGTGTAATCATTGAATATACTGGATGCAACATAAAATCAGCACATACACTTTGCCGCGGTTACACTTAGTTGTAAGTTAATTAATATGGCTACTGACGGAATGTTATTGATCTGACCCTTAATGAATAATTTATATTCACTATCACAGCAGTAGCTAAGTCTATCTGGGCTATATTGTCAATGTTAAGTTCACCTGCACTGACCCTGTATGCATGTTAACAAGAAATTTTTGGCGTACCCAGATTTACTTGCTAACTTTGGGGTATTTTTTTCTAATACAATTCTGAAAGGGGATGTCTTCATGTGCTATTACATAGATTTACTTGGCGTTATGCACCAATTAATCCGGAATGGCCTACAGAGATTCCGTGAATTAACAGCGCCAAAGAATCAAGTGAGGGACATTATATAAAATGAAAAGTTATTACGTATAAAATCTCCACTTACTCTTAGTTAACACTTGTGTATTTTCATGTAATTTTTCTTCTTTGTCTGAATGAAAATGTTTTAGGAAGTTACCTGCGTCTGCTAGAGCGATAAAGATACGTGTGTGTTCTGCAAATCCGGTTTCAACCAGTTTTGCATTATTATATTCTGAACTTGGTGAAAGTCACCAAAACACGTACATATGTTTGTAGAGTTTGTTATCCTGGTTTAATATACAAGTAGCTGAAAGTCAAGGGTCAAAATACTTTACTTCGCGATATTTATAAATAATATCAAAATCTTTCTAATGTGAAGGGCCAGAGAGTCTAACCAATTCTCACGTTTATAATCCACAATCGTGAAAGCTAGTATCAAAATATTACTGGTCTAAGAGACCAGAAAGTCTAACCAATTCTCACATTTTAATCCACAATAGTGAAAGCTAGTATCAGAATATTACTGGTCTAAGAGACCAGAAAGTCTAACCAATTCTCACGTTTTAATCCACAATCGTGAAAGCTAGTATCAAAATATTACTGGTCTGAGAGACCAGAGAGTCTAACCAATTCCCACGTTTTAATCCACAATCGTGAAAGCTAGTATCAAAATATTACTGGTCTGAGAGACCAGAGAGTCTAACCAATTCCCACGTTTTAATCCACAATCGTGAAAGCTAGTATCAAAATATTACTGGTCTGAGAGACCAGGGAGTCTAACCAATTCTCACGTTTTAATCCACAATCGTGAAAGCTAATATCAGAATATTACTGGTCTGAGAGACCAGAGAGTCTAACCAATTCTCACGTTTTAATACACAATCGTGAAAGCCTAAAACTCTTGTTACAGATTCCTGGCTATCTTGAACATGATTGTGTTATATATATGTGCGGTTACGTGGAACAAGAGTGTTCAAAGGAGTTTCGTAACATATAAAACAAAAAACATTAGAACACTAATTAATTTATTTTGATATCAGTTTGTATCTTCCATGTAAATCTTTTAAGACAAGTGTTAAGTTTAAAAGTGTGTTAATGTTATTGTTACGCCTACTTTGTTCCACCTTGTTTTTATCACGAGTTACTACATTTTAAAACTCTCATCCATTTTTCGAGCATCAAAACTTGGTACAAATATTCAACGGTATGTCTTTATTAGGCCTTATTGAAAGTTTTCGATAAAAGAAACATATTCAAAAATTAAATTTGCAACCGCAATTCTGCGTTTTTATACATCTTAGGTAAAATGGAAATATGTACCGCCATTTCCTTCGTATCATGAATATGTTAAGTTCAGACACAGTATCTGGGAAAAAGTTGTATAATTCAGTTTCCCGGGTATCTGGAGTAAAAGTTGTATAATTCAGTTACCCAGGTATCTGGAGTAAAAGTTGTATAATTCAGTTACCCGGGTATCTGGGAAAAAGTTATATAATTCAGTTTCCCGGGTATCTGGGAAAAAGTTATATAATTCAGTTACCCGGGTATCTGGAGTAAAAGTTGTATAATTCAGTTACCCGGGTATCTGGAGTAAAAGTTGTATAATTCAGTTACCGGTATCTGGTAGTAAAATTGTATAATTCAGTTACCCGGGTATCTAGGTAGTAAAAGTTGTTATAATTCAGTTACCGGGTATCCTGTCTGTACGTAC